GTGTAGATGCTTGGGCAAGGGTGGCCATCAGGACAGCTGTCAGCTGAAAGTAGTATCATACTTTAATATATTTAATATGCAGACAGATATATAAAGAAGGAACAAGTAATAACTTTTTTTTTTTAACACTATGAATTGGATGATGTGATTATCACGTCATGAAAAAAATTGGCTTGTGGGGTGGATGATGTGAATATGCCGTCAGGGGAAAATTTTGAGACGAGTATGTCGGCTGAAAGACTTGCCACAAGTGCACATAGCTCCTGGAGGGTGATGAAACTCAGGAGGGACTTTTGCATTATTTCCATCAAAACATGAGTGTAGAATGTCTGTGAGCCATGACTGGAAGTGCATGTGCTCCAGGGAGGACACTATTTCCATGCTCAGGATCCTATTTCTACCTGCTATGACCAGCATAGCCGCCAGCCTGGTGTGATGCTTGTGGGGGAAAGCCCCCGGGAGCCCTGCAGGTGGATTAGGGGACCTGCAGCCAGCCAACCTCTATATGGGGCGGCGTCGGTGGGGGTGGCAGAGGTGGCGCCCACCCGGAGTGACTGCCAGAGGTTAAACCTCAGGCGGGCTGTCAGGGTGGGGGCTTGGAACGTCCGTTCCCTGCGACAGGATGATCGGTTACCACTACTGTCGAGGGAATTGAAGCGGCTGAGAGTTGAGGTGGTTGCTCTCTCGGAGGTGAGAAGACCTGGCAGCGGCACGATTAGTGTGGGTGGCTACACCTACTACTGGTCGGGCCGCAGCGATGGCCACCATCTCCAGGGAGTAGCCATAGCCATCTCCAGCCGACTTCAACCCTCGGTAGTAGAGGTCACTCCAGTCGATGAGCGTATAATGGTATTGAGACTGAAGCTGTCATTTGGCTTCATGTCTCTTATTGCTGTGTACGCTCCTACAGATGTATATAAACTTGAGGTGAAAGAGATGTTCTACGCCAAACTTGCATCTGTGGCAGACAGTTGTACTCGGCGAGATATTCGTATTGTTTTGGGCGACTTCAATGCGGTATCCGGATGTGATCGAGCTGGCTACGAGATGTCTGTCGGTCCCCATGGCTCAGGAGCTGATGCTGGCAGCGAGAATAGCCTCCTTTTCCGTGACTTTGCTAGGTCCCAGAAATTGAGGATCTCTGGCTCCTGGTATCAGCGTTCTGACCCGCATCGCTGGACTTGGTACAGCGATACGGGTAGGGTGGCCAAGGAGATCGACCACATCCTCGTCAGCACTCGGTGGAGGATCCTCCAGAACTGCAGGGTGTATCGAAGCGCCGAGTTCTGTGGAACTGACCATAGATTAGTTGTGGCTACTCTCCGGGTCCACTTTAAAACCCCCCGTCGACCAAATGAGCACCCCAGGGTGTTTCATCTGGACAGACTGAGGGAGGATGAGTGTGCCCGGGGGTTTGCTGAGGCTATCTCTGGTCGGTTCACAGCACTCGAGGGCCTGACAGACCCAGTTGTTATGTGGGATTCCTTCAAGCGTGAAACGCTTGATGCAGCTCAGGAATCCATTGGTGTACGCCCTAGAGCAAGACAGAATACCATCTCGCAGGAGACACTGGAAGCCACAGAAGCTTGCCGTGCAGCTCGATTGTCAGGGGATCGCAATTTGCACCGTTCTCTGGCGCGCAGGACTAGGTCACTGCTGAGAAGGGATAAGGAACAGTATATCAGTAATCTTGCAGAGGAGGTCGAAAGCCATTTCCTAGTAAATGACCTTCGTCCTGCCTACCAAGCCCTGAGAAAGCTGAACTCCAAGCCCTCACAGACGACGGCAGTCCGCTCAGCGAGTGGTCAGGTAATCACAGATCCTGATGGGGTGCGTGTGCGTTGGGCTGAGTATTTTGAGCAGCTGTATCAGGTTGATCCACCAACAGTTAACTTGGATGCTGGGAATGTTGAGACTCCTCTGCCAGACCCACTCATCAGCGAGGATCCACCCTCCCTGACTGAAGTCAGGGGGGCGATCTCCAAGCTGAAGAGTGGTAAAGCAGCAGGTGTCTGCGGCATCCCAGCTGAATTGTTAAAGGCTGGTGGAGAACCTATGGCAAGGGGCTTGCATGCAGTCCTGTCTGCCATCTGGCAGACCGGTACCATTCCCCCTGACCTACTGAGGGGTATGGTCATCCCTCTCTGGAAGGGGAAAGGGGATCGGTGGGACTGCAGCAATCACCGAGGCATTACACTGCTCAGTGTGCCAGGCAAGGTACTCGCCCACATCTTACTGAGACGTATCAGAGACCACCTCCTGAGGCACCAAAGACCGGAGCAATCTGGATTCACTCCTGGTAAGTCCACAATAGACCGCATCCTGGCGCTTCGAGTCATTGTAGAGCGCCGTCGTGAGTTCGGACGTGGGCTGCTTGCAGCCTACATCGACCTCAAGAAGGCGTTTGACACGGTGCATCGCGAATCACTCTGGGAGATCCTGAGACTGAGAGGAATTCCAACAAGGATTGTTGGGCTAATAGCAAACTTGTATACAGGCA